ATATCTATTGAATCATAAAGAAATTAATTATTAGAATAATGCAGGCACTGCAAACCCGTCCTTGATAAAGCCCGACGCAACCATGTCCTTCAACCATCATCAACAACCCTTTGCTCAACATTTATCTTAGTCCTCAATTGCAAATTATTAATATTGGCACTTGAGCATGCAGACAATGTCTTATCACACTGAAATGACTGAACATCAACTCATTTCTTGAGCGAAATGACTGTTCTTATGTGGGAAAATGAGGCAACCAATTCTGCACGACTAACGTGCTACAAATAAAGAAATGATAGACAGACAATTATTGCACCCTTCGCTACTCCCCTCAGCAGTAAAGTATTAAACCTGCAATGGCAGGATTGTACAAAAGGAGTTTATACAGTCCTTTGGGTCTCTATCAATTCTTCAAAAGGACAAGCAATTGGCTTTACTCCATGCTTTCCCCATAACCCTGAAAGGTTTTATTTCTTTTGTAGTACTTACTTAATTCAATTTTGAAAGTTACAATCAAATCTGCTCCCATCACCCTTTCAGGTAGTACATTCAAGATCTTAAGAAATTGTTCTTTTCATCCTGCACCTGCTCTCTTTTTGTCTTGACTTCAATCTGTTGTCATTGGTTAACAACACGCCTGCTAGCCTCTCCCCATCTACACTGTTGAACTGTTTCTTCCTTTTGAATTCCACTATTAAATTGTCCTTTAGCCTTTGTGGCTCCAAGAAGAAAAATCTCAGTTTCCTCTATCGCTTCACAGAAACCCTGGTCCCTTATCTGAAGCACCATTCTGGTAAACACAAAAAAAAATTTGGTAGGAATTTGCAGGAGGCTCGGCAGCATCTGGAGAGGTGGAGAGGTAGAAAGAGAGAGAGAGAGAGAGAGAGAGAGAGAGAGACAGGAGGGTAAAGAGATAGAGAGAGAGAGAGAGGAGAGAAAAGAGAGAGAGAAGAGAGAACAGAGAGAGAGGAGAGAGAGAGAGAAGAAAGAAAAGACAGCAAAAGGAGAGAAAAGAGAGCAAAAGGAGAGAAAAGAGAGCAAAAGGAGAGAAAAGAGAAGAGAGAGAAGAGAGAGGAGAGAGAAGAAAGAAAAGACAGCAAGAGGAGAGAAGAGAGAGAGTAAGAGAGAGGGAGAGAGGAGAGAAAAGAGAGAGAGAGGAGAAGGACAAAGAGAAAGTGAGAGGGGCATTGAAGGGTGACATGAAGTGGGATGGCAGGAGGGCATGTGCTCATTGCTTAAATACTTCTGCAGGCTTTTTTTTTTAACCAGAGCCAGGGTAGGTATTGGGCAGCCCACACACCTATTGGACAATTAATGGCCATCATCACTGGGATCTTATCAGTGGGATTGAAGGGTGCTCACAGCCCTGGCTGAGGGTTTAGGTAAGGTGGCACCCCCACTTACCTTTTATTTAGGCCTTCTGCTTTAAGCCTTATCAGGAACTAAATGCTGTTTGAGCAGTGCCCAGCGGTACTGCTGGCATTGGACAGCTACTAGCTGATGAGTTCTTTGAAGTAGGATATCCTCCTAAATAGGAGCTGAAGTCACACCCTCAGATGGTAAAATCCAGCTGAGTCTTTCCTGGTACATCTTGTGTGTACTATCTACGAGATACACTGCAGAAATTCACCAAAGATCCTCAGAGAGCACCTTCCAAACCACGGCAGCTTCCACCTAGAAGGATAAGGGCAGCAGACATATGGGAACACCACCACCTCCAGGTTCCCTCCAAGCCACTCACCATCCTGATTTGGAAATATATCGCCGTTCCTTCACTGTCGCTGGGTCAAAATCCTGGAATTCCCTCCCTAATAGCATTGTGGGTCAACCATAAACTGGAGCACTGCAGTGGTTCAAGAAGGCAGCTCACCACCACTTTCTCAAGGGCAACTAGGGATGGGCAAGAAACGTTGGCCCAGCCAGCGACCCCCACATCCCACAAAATGAATTTTTAAAAAATACAGGCGTGCCTCGACATTTCAGCTGTTGGCCCTGACTTTTCCCTCTGGATAAATTCCAGCGAGACACTTCTAAATGACCTGTCATCAGTTACATTGTACAATTTACTATTCTGGTAAATACTACTGTGTGTCCTTTCCACAGCCTTGACAATTATTTTGAATTGTGGTGCCCAGAAGAGGATACGAGACTTGAGGCCTGACCAGTGCTTCATCAGGGTTTACCATAACTTGCTTACTTTGCGTACACTGCCTCAATTAACAAGTTGAATACTCCAGATTCTTATTAACATCTTTATCAACTTGTTCAATTATTTATCTGTGTGAATGTCCTGTTATGCATCCCCTTTAAAACATCATCATTTAGTTTATACAGCCTCTCATTTTTCCTTCCAAAACATATTAATGAATTCCCCTCTGTGGCTTGAACATTGCCACTGCATCTTTTAACACGTACCAGAGCAGGAAGACTGGACAATAGTTTGTAATTATAACAAGGAGAACACAGACATTGGAAAGGATACAAAAATCTATTTAAAAAGATATTCACAGAATTGAGATATTTTCTCCCATGCAGAAACAATGATCAGCCTACTGTCATTTCTCTTGGGAAGATTGAAGAGTTGCCTAGTAGACAGCCTTAAGATTCTAACTGATTTTGAAACAATCGTTCTGAGGAAAGCTAGAGGTGTGTGTGCGTGCATGCACGTTTGATTTGATTTGATTTGATTTGATTTGATTTATTATTGTCACATGAGCCTAAGTACAGTGAAACGTTTTGTTTTGCGTGCAGTACAGGCAGATCATAACAAAGTGCATTAGGGTAATGGCACAGAGTGAAGAATGCAATGTTACGGCTACAAAGAAATTGCACAAAAAGCAAGGTCAACGTTAGATTTGAAATTTGAGAGGTCCATTCGCAAATCTAATAACAGTGGGGAACAAGCTGTTCTTGAACCTGTCTGTGTGTGTGCATGTGCGTGTGCATGTGCGTGTGCGTGTGTGCGCGGTAGAAGAATGTCTCTGAAGAGATCCAACTTCAAGCTTTAAAGTCCTTCCTCTGGGCCAGAAGCTCCTGGTTCACATCTCACCTGCCCTGGAAAAACATGCCCAGACTTTTTGTGGTAAAATTAATTATGAAGGACAAAGGAATACAGGGTTTCACTCACAAAATTAACTGAGGAGCCATGAGGGGAGGCTTGAAAGAAACAGTAAAGATGGCATGGACTTGATGGGCTGAGTGGCCTATTTTATTTGTATATTCAAATGACTACAAAGCTCAATATCTCATCTGAAGAACTGAGACAGCACTTCCACCCCTCGTTTCAATTTCAGTTTCCTCTAAATGGACTGATTCAATGGTGCTATTGGTTGAATCTCAACCATCATTTCTGCCTCTTTTCTTAAGATACAGCACTGTTACGGATGCCAGTTTCCAAAGAACCAATATAATAAAATGTTTGAAATGTGACAGAGAAATACTTAATAGCGAATTTAGATAGGAACAGGTTGTCCTGCGATTTCATAATCAATTCCAATGTGTTGTGATTCCAGGCAGATTTTATAATCCTTTATCATAATAAAATGGTAATGGGTGAGCAGTAATATTCTTGGAGCAGCAACAACGAAGGAAAATCAAATGCAAGATTGTCAGAAAGATGTGAAAAGTTGAGAGAGCAGGAGCGTTTTGAGGCAATAGACGTAGATTCACTTGCCACTGGATGAACAACTGAAGGGGAAAATAACATGATGAACAACAGGAAAACAGAACCAGATAAATAGTTTGCAGAAAGCTGGCAGGGTTTGGTGGGCTGAAGGCCTCCTTCTGTGTAAACAATTCAACCGTGAAACATTGAACTCTTTCCCTGAAAAGTTGATGAGACTGGGGATTGATTGGAAGTTTCAAAATTTAGAACAACTTACTTTCAAGTGCAGGATATTAAGGGTTACTTAAGCAAATGGGGTAAACAGAATTAAGATCCTGATCAGTCAGGATCTTATTTTTTCTATTTTCTAATCAACCTGCTCAGAGGGACGTTATTACGCATCTCAGGAGCAGGTGTGACATGAACCAGGTCCTCTTGGCTCAGGGGTATGGACACTATGCTGTAAACCTCTACGGTAGCCAAAATCATTTCCCCAGGGTAGGGGGGTCCAAAGCTAGAGGGCATAGGTTTAAGGTGAGAGGGGAAGGATTTAGAAGTGACCTAAGGGGCAACTTTTTCATGCAGACGGTGGTGTGTGTATGGAATGAGCTGCCAGAGGTGGTGGTGGAGGCTGGTACAATTACAACATTTGAAAGGCATTTGGATAGGTACATGAAGAGGAAGAGTTTAGGTGGCAAATGGGGCTAGATTAATTTAGAATATCTGGTCGATATGGATGAGTTGGACAGAGATGCTGTACATCTTTGCAACTTTATAAACATTTGGACAGGTACGTGGACGGGATAGGTATGTAGGGATATGGATCAAATGCAGGCAAATGGGACTAATTTAATTGTGAATTGTGACATGGACATGTTGCGCTGAAGGGCCTGTTTCCATACTGTAAACCTCTATGATTCTATGACTACACCACAAGATCCCATGTCAAGACTTAAGTGAATGGTAGAATAGAATTGAGGGGTTACATAGCCTATGTACCATGTTTCACATTAACTACTAAACTAATTAGCAATCACAATGAGAAGCTTGATGCTGAAGAGAGCGTTTCAACCCAAAGTGCTACTTTTCTTGCACTGAAAAGTTTCAGGACTACATGCCTAAAGCCCAGAGACAGGCAAGATAAATCTGACAGTACATTAACAGTCAGTCACGTTAAGGAAGTAGAAAGGTTGTAAAATTAATTCCTGTCAGTTCTGGTCTCTAACTTCAACAAATTCAGCTGATGTCATGAACCATGAAGAAGGCAAGATAAAACATTCAGGAGGAAAAATCCTTTGGTCGTTTTTCTACGATGCGAAACCAGAATGTGGGGGATAAAAAACACAACTGAACCATTAATTTAAAAAAAAACAAGCATATTGAACGGGACACTTACCATCATCAGGGATTTCTGGTCCATCATAGGACTTGTCAATTGCAGCCCTGAAGCTCTCATTGCAACCACGACCACGGACCATGTGAGGTCGGGGTCTGTGGAAAGGGAGTTCATTCTTCCGGACCTCAGCGACAGCTGTTTGTAAACTCTCCAGAGAGCTAGACTTCTTCAAACCCAGCATGGGGCCAACATCGTTCCCTGTGGAATCTGGTTGTGGAGAAACAAAAACAATGTTTCACATGTGTGATCACAAATCCAATACCTCTATTGACACCACTGTGCCAGTCAATGAATTAGAAGTAGGTCAGGCTTTGCAGCTGGGCTAACAATGAACATGTTATTTTACAGAAAAGGAGGTTTACTTTTTCCACAGTAAACAGAAACTATTTTAACAGTATACTACAACTAACATATACCTCTGTCTCTTTCAGCCTTTTCACATGTTACGTGGAGTTGCTAACATGCTGGTTGATTGCTGTTCACCACCTCCATTCATATTAATTATGACTTTTGGATTTAACAAATAATTTTACAACCGGATTCCCTTCCTGCCACTAATTTATGTTCACTCTCTCTGCCAGTGACAAACAGTTGCAGCAGTGTGCACCATCTACAAGTTGCACTGCAGCAAATTCACTAAGACTCCTTAGACAATTGCCTCCAAATCACCAATCTCTGTCACCTCGAAGGACAAGGGCAACAGATACATGGGAACCCCCAGCAGCTGTAAATTCCCCTCTAAGCCACATACTGCCCTGACTTGGTAACACAGCGCCATTCCTTCGCTAAAACCTGGAAGTCCTTTTCTAACTGCACTGTAGGTATCCCTACACCCTATGGAAGCAGCTCACCACCACTTTCCTAAGGATAATTAGGAATGGACAATAAATGCTGGCCTCGCCAGCACTGCCCAATTCCCATGAATGAATAATCAAATACTGTTCACCATTTATCTGGACTAGGGACTCACACCAAGAAACACCCACACTCGTGGCTTAAATTTTCCATAGTCAACATGTTGTGGAGTGGGATTTGAACCCTGATGCATTCTGGCTCAGAAGCAGAGGTGCAAATGACAGAAGCACAAGCTTCTCTATTGCTACCGAAGTCCTAAGGATTTCAAGTAAAAATAGTCTGTTCATACTATTGCAAACATAACCAAAACGCCAGCAATGCTCCCTGGTAAAGTCACAATTAGTTCTCCAGCAAAATGCAGGGAGTGGACGGAATTTCCATACATATCATGCAAGCCAATTCTAGTCACTTACAGCAGTGTGGACTCCAAGTGTATTTGATGGGTTAAATTACTCAGGGATCTACATTCTGGCTGCGAATAGTGGTGTCTCTATATGCAGCGCCCAAACTCAGGCACCTCCTTGTGCCCAACAGTAGAAAGGGTAGCTTTTTTTTTCATTTTATCATCCATTACCAATAAATTGCACTTTGTCAGCAGGAAAGCTTTGCAGAATTCAGCACAGAGGTACCCTGACCCAACTGGGAGCCAGCAGCAGAGTAGGATGGTTGCAAAATTCCAGTCTCTCTTGAAAGATCTGAGCACAAGGAATTAGGCTGGCATCCACTGTACAATACTGAGGGAGTACTGCACGGTCACTGGAACACAGGGACATGAGTAGGTCATTTGGTTCCTGAGGCCTGCTGCACCATTCAGTGAGATCATGTTGGTGTGTGACCCAGCTCCATATATTCAACATTTCCACATCTATCTTACTATCTTTTGTTAACCAACATTTCAGTCTATACTTTCAAATTCACAATTGAACTAGCATCAACAGGCATTTGTGGATCCTTTGCCCTCCTACCTTTCGCACATAGAAGTGTTTCCTAACTTTATTCTCGATTTCCCAGATTACATCCCCCAAAGGTTTGACTCCCCAACCAATGGAAAGGGTTTCTCTCTGCCTAACCTATTTGTTCACTGTAATAATACATTAAAAAAAATTTAATCAAATCAACTCTTTTGCCTTATAAATTCCAGTGAATATAGCCCTGGTCTGTGTAATCCCTCCTGGTCAGTTAACATTTGGAATGCGGGCATTGTCTCGAGTAATCCAGGCTGTATTCCCTACATCTTTACCATGGACGTCCAGTCCCTATACACCTGCATTCCCCATACAGATGGCCTAAAGGCCCTCCGCTTCTTCCTGTCCCGCAGGCCCGACCAGTCCCCCTCCACTGACACCCTCATCCGCTTAGCCGAATTTGTCCTCACCTTCAACAACTTCTCTTTCAATTCCTCCCACTTCCTACAAAGGGGGTGGCCATGGGTACCTGCATGGGCCCAGGCTATACCTGCCTCTTTGTAGGTTACGTGGAACAATCCCTCTTCCATACCTACACTGGCCCTAAACCCCACCTCTTCCTCCTTTACATTGATGACTGTATCGGCGCCGCCTCGTGCTCCCACGAGGAGCTCGAACAGTTCATCCACTTCACCAACACCTTCCACCCCAACCTTAAGTTCACCTGGACCATCTCTAATACCTCTCTCACGTTCCTGGACCTCTCTGTCTCCATCTCAGGCAACCATCTAGAAACCGATATCCATTTCAAGCCCACCGACTCCCACAGCTACCTAGAGTACACTTCCTCCCACCCACCTTCCTGCAAAAATGCCATCCCCTATTCCCAATTCCTTCGCCTCCGCCACATCTGCTCCCACTCCCGTACATCTCAGATGTCCTCATTTTTCAAGGACCGCAACTTCCCCCCCTCAGTGGTCGAGAACGCCCTCGACCTTGTCCCCCGCATTTCCTGCAACTCATCCCTCACACCCCGCCCCCGCAATAACAACCAAAAAAGAATAACCCTCGTCCTCACGTACCACCCCACCAACCTCCGGATCCAACGCATCATCCTCCGACACTTCCTCCATCTGCAATCCGACCCCACCACCAAAGACATTTTTCCCTCCCCACTCTTATCTGCTTTCTGGAGGGACCACTCTCTCCGTGACTCCCTTGTCCGCTCCACACTCCCCTCCAGCCCCACCACACCCGGCACTTTTCCCTGCAACCACAGGAAGTGCTACCCCTGCCCCCATACCTCCTCCCTCACCCCCATCCCAGGCCCCAAGAAGACTTTCCACATCAAGCAGATGTTCACCTGCACATCTGCCAATGTGGTATACTGTATCCGCTGTGGCCTCCTCTACATCGGGGAAACCAAGTGGAGGCTTGGGGACCGCTTTGCAGAACACCTACCTCGGTTCGCAATAAACAACTGCACCTCCCAGTCGCGAAGCATTTCAACTCCCCCTCCCACTCCTCAGATGACATGTCCATCCTGGGCCTCCTGCCGTGCCACAATAATGCCACCCGAAGGTTGCAGGAACAGCAACTCATATTCCGCTTGGGAACCCTGCAGCCCAAAGGTATCAATGTGGATTTCACAAGCTTCAAAATCTCCCCTCCCCCTACCGCATCCCAAAACCAGCCCAGCTCGTCCCCGCCTCCCTAACCTGTTCTTCCTCCCACCTATCCCCTCCTCCCACCTCAAGCCGCACCCCCAACTCCTACCTACTAACCTCATCCCGCCCCCTTGACATGTCCGTCCTCCCTGGACTGACCTATCTCCTCCCTACATCCCCACCTACACTCACCTTTACTGGCTCCATCCCCGCCTCTTTGACCTGTCTGTTTCCTCTCCACCTATCTTCTCCTCTATCCATCTTCTATCCACCTTCCCCTCTCTCCCTATTTATTTCAGAAACCCCTTCCCCTCCCCCATTTCTGAAGAAGGGTCTAGGCCCGAAACGTCAGCCTTCCTGCTCCTATGATGCTGCTTGGTCTGCTGTGTTCATCCAGCTCTACACCTTGTTATCTCAGATTCTCCAGCATCTGCACTTCCTACTACCTCCCTACAAGACTAATGTGTTCTCCCTAAGGTTCAGGCTGAGAAATGCTCAGAGCATTGCAGGTGTGGTCTAACAAGGGAATTGGAAAGCTGAAGCATAACTTCTCTTATCAAAGGCCAGCATTCTATTGGCCCCTTAGATTATCCTTTGTGTTTGTCATAGTTTAGACAACCCATCCACATGAACCCCCAAAATTCTTTCTGGATCTCCACTATTTCTAGATTTTCACCATTTAGAAAGTACTCTTGATCTGTTGGGGCCACCTGTTTTTGGAGGAGATGTTAAACCAAGACCCGATCATGAGAATGTAAAACCCTCCACAGCATTATTTGGAAGTGAAGCAGGGAAGCATCTCTTGATCTTCTAACCAATATTAATTCCCTCAGACCACATCACGAGAGCAATTTAATTGTGCATTGCTGTTTGTGGGAACTTGCTGTGCGCAATTGGACGAAGGTCAAACAATTGAGGAGACTTGTATTTTATTCCCTGATTTAATCTTTTAAATACAACAGATACAATGATAAAACCTGTTTGAAATATTGGAATGCGCACAAAAAGGTTTTATGATTAATTTAATTATTCCTGTAGTCAGCAGCTTCAATGAACATCCTGACCAGACATCCATCTAGTCTGCAGCAAATTAAATGAACATATAATTAGTGTGGTTTACTGAGGTTAGTCAATAAAATAGTCTACCCCAATCTACAAATTGTGATATAAGACAGCAACAATTGTATACAGACTGCAAAACACTTTAGCTGCTTGTCACAGCTCGGGAATAATGATCATCTGTACACTCCATTAAGGAAGTCTACACAGACTGTAATTAAATATAGTTTTACTGCTTTCCAACTTGCTCACTTATTCCCACTCCCTCTTTTCTCACTGCCCTGTTAATAACACTTGTTGCTTAGGTAGGCCAGGGGGGAATAGTGGTGACAGTTGCAGAGAAGATCTGGTCGCACAGTAGCAAGAATGTGAGGAATTATATTACATAGACACCCCACCACCCACTCTAACGTTACTGAAAATTTGATGAAAGAAAGTGCAAATATCAAGAGCACATGCGGAAGCTATGTTTTTGGATGGCATCATTGAGACTTAGCTTGGAAATGAAGGGAGATGATCATGGCACTATTTTGAATGAGAACTGGAATGTTCTGACAGATATTTAGCTAACCATCAAAAAACACTAGTGGCCCTTATCACGTGGAGATGCAGGTGTGTGGGAGTGCGGTATTCACGTGTGATCTGGCTGCATCACTTCCTATATTATGACAGTGGCTACACTTCAAACTAAAGGCACTTAATTGGCTATGAAGGGCTTTGA